AAGGCCAAAGGGTCCTCTGACACACACGCGGTCGGATACATCGTGAAACATTTGGAGCACTCAGGGTTGAACGGAGAAATTATTTTGCAGACTGATTCGGAATCTTCTGTGAAGGACCTGGCCCGCGCAATCGCTAACAAGAGGCAGGTCGACGGCAGTTCTCCGAAAACTCATTTGAGGCAAACGCCAGTTGCATCCAAACAGTCTAACGGGACAGTTGAGCGCTTTCACCAATCTATCGAGGGTCTCGTTCGGACCCAAAAGCTGGCTCTTGAGGGCCATTACAATATGGTGCTGAAAAACACGAGCCTGCTCACGCCGTGGTTGATCAGACACTGCGGATGGCTGTACACCCGGTACCAAAAACACAGCGACGGAAAAACATCCTTCGAGAGAACAAAAGGTCACTCATATCAAGCTTTTATTGTCGAGTTTGGTGAATGTGTCAGCGCACGGTACAATGGCCCCATCGTCCACAAAATGGAGCCGCATTGGGTAACCGGTGTCTGGATGGGAAAAGCTGTAGGCAACGATGAACACATTATAGCAACCCCCAAAGGCTTGATACAATCTCGCAACATTCGCAGACTCGAGGAAACCTCGCGGTTCAACAAAACAATTGTGAATCAAATCTACGGTGTCCCTTGGGATCTTAACTATAAGCCGGGCTCTGAAGACAACCCGTCACCGCAGCATACATATCCCGTGCCAGACGTACCTGAACAACAGAAGCGTGAAGCCAACAGGAAACTTCGGTTATTTTGGCAAGAGTGCGGCAAGACACCGAATTGCAAAGCGTGCCACGAGGGAACCCATGGCAATACACATTCTGCCGAATGCAAGCGTGGACGGCAGGAGTGGGAGTTGAAATACGCAGAGAAACGAAAACGAGAAGAAGAGGACACAGTAGAACAAGCAGCAGCCGACAAGAGCAGGAAGACAACGCACGACGCCAAGCATCGTGACGATGCCTCTGGCGACCGAATGCAGGAAGACGGATCGTCACCGGACGACCGGCAACCAGCTACGAAACGCAAGGCTGAAGAGGAACACCCGGAATCCCCAGGATCGAGAATTGTGGCAATCATCCGACCGATTCTCAACATCGGAGAGGACCAGTACTTATGTGAAGAACCAGAATAGCACTCAACGGACCTCTGCCTGACCAATGAAGAATTGTTAAAACAATGGTGTGAAGGCGTCGAGTTCATCGACGGTCTCCCCAAAGAGTTGGTCGAACAAGGTATGTCCAAAGAAATGTGTAATTTAGACCACTTCAGAGTGTACTCTTGGTGGCGCGAAGATAAGGCGTTAAGTAAACCAATTGAAACAGGATGGGTACACAAGATGAAAAGGGGACGAGGTGCGGTCTAGGCTTGTTGCAAAAGATCTGAAAATCGCAAGTAACCGGGACGACGTTTTCGCTGCAACGCCAACACCGATTGACCTTCGCATTTTGCTAGCAATCGCCATGGCAGAGAAGCTGGTGGTATGCATTGGAGATTTTAGTGTTGCTTTTATGTATGCAGACATATCAGATGAGAATGTTTTCTGCCGCCCGCCAGAACCCTGGCGTTCTCGGTACCCCGGATGGGTTTGGAAGATGAACAAGGCCATGAATGGATTGAAAAAGGCACCGCAAAATTTCCAAGATTTCATTGCGAGCGTGTTAACAGACCATCTTGGTTTCAACCGTTGTTTGACCGACCCGCAGTTGTTTTGGAAAAAGAAAACCGGAGTTCGTATTAGCATACACGTAGAAGATCCCATTGCAGTAGGAGACAACAATAAGATTGATGAGTTTTTGGACAGCTCGAAAAACATGTGTTGTTCAAGCGTGGTGATCGTTTTACTGACGAAGTTCCCACGAAGTACCTCGGGAGGATGTATGTAACACGTGACGGCGGTATCAACGTTTTCCTCACAGACAAGTATATTGATGACACATTGAACATATACAACATGTTGCATTGTACTCCCGTAAGCACACCAGGTGTGAAAGACACCCCTAATGTCAAGGGCTCTGTCGGGGAGGAGTTCGTGCTTTTAGATAAGGTCGAACACCACAAATACAGGTGTGCAGTTGGTAAATTACAATTCATCTGTCAGGAACGAGGAGACATCCAGTTTTCAGTCAAAGAGCTTGCGAGGCAACTCGCGTCGCCTACAAAAAGATATGTCCGTAAGTTGAAGCACCTGTTGAGATATTTGAAGGGGACCAGAAACGAACATCTTCATCTTAGGTGCGAGTCGATTTCCGACAAGGTAACTGTCTATGTTGACTCGGATTGGGCAGGGTGCCAGCAGACGAGAAAAAGCACACCTGCTGGAGTTGTCATGTGGGGCTCGTGCGTTCTCTGTAATTACAGCCGCACGCAGAGCGTGATCGCCCAATCCAGCGGCGAAGCCGAGCTATATGCCATAGCCTCCGGCGCCGCAGAGGCACTGCATGCGCAATCACTGATCAAAGAGCTGGGGTATGAGACCTCGGCCACTGTGAAATCAGACAGCAGCGCAGGCAGGGCCATAGCATCAAGACTAGGCGTAGGACGGTTGAAACATGTTGATATCAAGTTTTTACATGTACAACAACTTGTGCAAACAAAGCGTATCGATATCTCCAAAGTGACAACAACAGACAACATTTCAGACATTGGAACAAAATACCTTGACAAAGCTAGGCTTTCTACGTTGAAGCGTAGGCTTGGTATCTACGCGTAGTCATAGCACGGAGGTGTGTTGGCTCAAGACTTTGATGGGCAGGAACACACTTGTTGTACATTTCGATACCATCACATGTTGCACCCAGATGTCGCGTACATTTACAAAGAATGTCCAGAATGCTTGCCGCAATACTGCGCGGTTGTAAAGCGAGAGCAAGTGAACACTCGTGAAAAAGCCATGGGCACCCTTTCGTTCAGGTTGAAACAGCACTTTGTGACTGATTCGAATCACAAGATGTCACATGATGCAGCAGACGGCTTTGATCGCAATATCAAGGTTTGCTATTGCAAGAGAGACTGGACCGAAATCCCACCGGAAAACGCATGGGTAGACAAACCACCTGTGCCGCCACCGCCTCCACCGAAACCGGCGGATCAGGCAGCAGAGCGCCATGTCAAAAGCAGGAGCCGCTCCGCGTCAAAGACAGCGAGCCCGAGTCGGAGCCGCAGCCGGGACAGTTCCAAGAAGGTCAAGCCTCCTCTGACCACTGAGCAAAGAGAACAAGACATCCTGAAGGATATTCGCATTGATGTGAACGAATTGAAGACGAGGTTAGGTGTGGCAGAGGTTCTCCGGATTGTGGCTGACCGGTTCGAGCGGGGAGATTTCTCTGAGTGAGACATGGGGTTAGCATATGCAACAAAAGATTGCCTCTGTGCCCCCGCAGACATCAGTTGAGCACTGGTATCCCTTTTAGTGGTTCTTTACTTCTTTGTGCCATTGTCAGTAAAAGTATGCTCTAGTACTGATTGTGGTACATACGCGTGCACTGTTTTAGGACAGCTCTGCCCCGATCTGTATATGCGTGCCAGATCTGAGGGGGGCTGTTACGATTCCTTCACCCGCAGCCGGCTTGAGCCTCGAGCCCAGGATAAATTCCTCCATATCGAAATCACCCGCTTATCTTTTCACCTCCTCCTCCTCCTCCTCCTCCTCCTCCTCCTCCTCCTCCTCCTCCTCCTCCTCTCTCCCCTCAGGTGTCATGCACTAGCGGCGCATGGCTAGCCTGCACGGGTATATCAATGCTTGGATACGCAAGGTCGCACGATGCCGCGCGACACCACGTCATGCCATGCTACGTCGTGCTAAGCGTGCTGTGGTATCAAATGCTGCATGGTGCTGCCACGACATGACATGCTAGGCGATAACATGCTGTGCTACTATACTCAATGGAAAGATACTACAATCACAACAGAAATCCCAGCACAACCTCCCAGACAGCCTGGACAACCCATGCTGCTTAATGACGCCAAATCGACCTACCCTGGACAACCCGTTGGACAACCCGGCGGGGATCCAAACAACCCCATGGGACAACTCCCCTTGGACAAACCTCCCCAGAGTTCTTCCGTGATATATAATATGCTATGCTCTGTGCTGAATGGCGTCTCACCTAATTGCGCTGCATTGCACTGCCCATGTATGCGCAGGCAAATGGCTTCCGCTAACCAGGGCAACACCAGGCTCGTGTAACGACAAACGAAAGGCCTCACTGCTCCTACGCGAACTCGTGCTATTCAAGTCGAACTTCGGACGATCTCCTTTCACGGTAGGTCCGTGAGGCGTCGGCACGCGCAAAGGATTTTTGACACCGCGCCGATCGTTCAACCTTGAATTGATCGCAGTTCGGATCGTTCAAGGTTGAATTCCGTGGAGTCATGTGGCGTTACCGTGCCCCTCAGTGCTTCCAGGTCGTTCTATTAGTGTTTCCAGGTCGTTCCTTCGCTGGCGTCGCCTGCGCGCCATCGCCGCATGAACCTAACGTGTGAGAACAAATGGGTATACCAGTGTTGTTCGTTGCAGGAGCTCTCTGCAGATCTGACTTAGTTTCAGATGAGACATGTTGGCCAACACTTTGATTGTCGTATCGCGACTATCCGCAGACTTGCTTTTGCATATTGAAAACTCGGATCTAGTTCAGCCGCGATTTACTGCATGCGTGACTTACTTGCCCAGGTTGCAGCTTCAGCTCATGCCATTGCCCGTCGTCGACGCCATCCCAACGCTGATTGAATGATGACGTGGTCACGCTCGATGAATGGCAGGTCCATGGGGTGCAGGTCTTTCACGGGTCCACGGGGTGCAGGTCAGCAGTTGTGACCTCGCACTGACATGCAAGTCGCGCTACGACTCATTTGGAAACAACGCGACAGGGCAGTTATTGCAGCCTTTTAGCTGAGAGTAGCTGTCGCAGCATGGCAAGCACATCCCGGGCACATGACAGCGAGCCGACATTCACAGCCATAGCTCCCAGTATGCTGTCATCCCGTGCGCACTCATATATACACACACGCGCTGCTCACTTCGAATTCGCTCGGATCGCTTCGGGAACTCCGAGCGCGCATCGCGCGAGGCCTTTCTGCCTCGCCGAGGTGTAACCAAAAAGAAAAAAAACGGCGGCGCGCTCAGGCGATCGGCCTCTGCACCGCGGCGGGCTCCGCCAGGGCTCGCCGCGCCGGCTGCGCCCCTGCGTGCGGCGCCAGCTGCCGCGGCGCGGGCGCCGCCGGCCGCGGCGCCAGCAGCGGCGTGGCGGGCGCCAGCTGCCGCGGCGTCAACAGCAGCGGCCCCGCGGCGGGCGGGCCCACCGCTGGCGCCGCCAGCCGCGGCGCCGGCTGCCGCGGCGTCGGCGGCGGCGTGGGCGGCAGGGGGCCGCCCACGGCGGCCCACCGCGGCGGGGCCCCGCCCGGCGCCAGCGGGGCGTAGGCACCGCCGGGCGCCGCGGCGCGCTTGAAGCCCTCGAAGGGCCCTGGCCGCCGCGCGGCCGCCGGCCCGAGCAGCACGGGGAGCGGGGCCGTCCCCGCAGCGGCGCCGAGGGGCTCCAGCGCCCCGGGCTCGGAGGCGGCGGCGGCGGCCGGGGCACTGCCGAAGTCGTCGGAGGAGCCGGCGTCGAAGTCCTCGAAGTCCCAGTGCTCGTCCTGCAGGTCCGCCGCCCGCTGCAGCTCCGCCGCCCTGGTGGTGCGGCGCGGCGCGCGGCAGGCATGCCAGAGCAGGGGCGCGGCGCAGGCGGCGACCCCGGCGCACAGGGCCGCGCCGGCGAGGGCCCAGCACGCGGGGCCAGAGCAGAAGCTCTGCTGCGCGCCCGGCGTGTCGCTGGGCATCAGCACCACTTCGAAACCTCCCTCCGTCTCTGCCGAGGTCGAGCCCTCCTCGCCGAGGCCCTGGCCCTCCGTCGTGCTCGGGTCCGAGGTCGAGCCCACCTCGCCGAGGAGCTCCTGGCCCTCCGTCGTGCTCGGGTCCGAGGTCGAGCCCACCTCGCCGAGGAGCTCCTGGCCCTCCGTCGTGCTCGGGTCCGAGGCTGGTGCTGCCACCTCGGTCAGGTTCAGCTTCGCGAGCGCCGGCGCCGGTGCCTCGGCCAATATCGACGCAAGCATCTCGGTCGAATGCAGCTCGACGAGCTCGGCGCCGCGCACGATGGCGCACGTGTGCCCCGGCCTCGGCTCGACGGACTCGACGGGGTGCCACCAGAGCAGGCACTTCGCGTCGAGGGCCTGGTACTCAATGGCCCTGCAGTACCCCTCGGAGGAGCAGAGGCGCTTGCAGTCGTCCAGAGACCCCGCGGTGAAGGTGTAGTAGAAGTGGTTGACGCTCGAGGATGCCGCCGCGCCCCTCGCCGCGCAGGCGAAGCCGGGCGCCGGCCACTCCGACGGTGCCGCTGCGCTGCAGCTGCCCACGGTGACTCGCAGCCGGCCCCGCACCCAGTCCGCGGGCGCGCAGAGCGCCGTGGCGCCCTCCAGGCAGCTATCGCCGCCGCACCAGGCGCAGGGCTGCCCGTGCACGAGGTGCCCCCGCCACTGCCTCCAGGGCCGCCCGTCGACGCTCCGCAGGCAGAGGCCCTCGTCCCGGACCGCGCCGCACCCGCGCGCGTCCCCCTGCCACAGGCATGCCTTTGAGGGGCCCTTTGTTCCACTACCACTTCCACAGGTATATGTAGAAGAGGGAGGGGGAGGAGGAGGAGGAGGAGGAGGAGGAGGAGGAGGAGGAGGAGGAGGAGGAGGAGGAAGAGGACCTCCTCCTCCTCCTCCCTCCTCCCCCGCCCTGCAAACATGGTAGTGGCGGTGGAACATTTGCCCATCAGCCTCCGCGCCAGGCGGCGCCGGGCCCGAGGTGTTCCCCGCGGGGGGCGGGTCCGCGGTCGCCGCCGGGGCGTCTGCTACGGCACCGCTGGAGGCCCGGCGCGCCTCGCGGGCGCCAGCGCCGGAGGCGGCGAGGGCGAGGAGGCAGGCGGCGAGGGGCGCGCGGCGGCAGGGCGGCTGGCCACGGGCGGGCATCTGCGGCACGCGGGCAGCGGGCGTGCGGGGTGCTCCGGGTCCACGCCAGCCTCCTGAGCCGAAGTCGGCTGCGGGCAGGTCGGGTGGCTGGGGAGAGGGGGGGGGGTCGGACGAGGATCGAGGCGCTTGGCCGCTCGAAATAATTTTGGCGGCCTCGCAGGAGGGCCCTCGCCGTCACGGCTGAATCCGTTTCGAACGTGTCGGCATGCTACCTTGGGGAAGAAGAAACAGGGAGGTGTAGAAAAGAGGGGGAGAAGGGGCGGGGGGAGGTCGATGAGTGGAGAGGAGAGTCAGAACCAGCTGACGGCGCCGCCACGGATGTGAACCAACGCAGATCCAAGAAACCCACGCGGACCTCCGACATGTTTGATCCCCGACGCTCCTGTGCTGGGTTCTTGTTTCGAATGGAGCACCGTTCACGCGTCTCCTTCCTTCTCCCCCTCCTTCTTCTGCCCCTACGTGGGCTCCCGGCAGGCACGCCGGAGGTGAGGGCAGCACAAATCATTTGAGACCTCGCGGCCCCATTGGGGGCTACGGGCTGCGCAGTCGTCGCCACTTTCGTGGGCTCCAGGGAGCCACGGCGGAGGTGAGGGCGACACGGATCATTCGGGACCTCGCAGCTCCGCCAGGGGCTGCGAACTGCGAAACCGTCGCCACTCTCGTTGACTCTTGGGAGGCAGGCGGAGGTGAGGGAGACACCGAACATTTGGGACCTCGCGGCTCCCGTGGGGGCTACGGGCTGCGCAACCGTCGCCACTTCCGTGGGCGCCTGGGAGGCACGGCGGAACGGAGGACGACACAAATCCTGGGGGACCCCACGGCTCCGCCGGGAGCTGCGATCTGCGCAAGCTACCGCGACTGCGTGGGCTCCAGGGAGGCACGGCGGAGGTGAGGGCAGCACAGATCATTCGGGACCTCGCGGCTCTCTAGGGGGGGCTACGGGCTGCGCCACCGTCGCCACCGTTGCAGGCTCCTGGGAGGCACGGCGGCAGTGAGGACGACGCCGGATCTTTGAGGCTTCGCGGCTCCTCCTGGAGAGGCCGCGAACTGCGGAACCATCGCCACGTTCGTGGGCATCTGGGAGGTGCAGCGGAGGCTGTAGTCACGCGAGACCAAGCGGCGCCTTTGGAGGCTGCCAACTGCGCGTCTGTGGCAACTTTCATGGGCTCCAGGGAGGTGCAGCGGAGGCGGTAGTCACGCGAGACCTCGCGGCTCCCATGGAGGCTGCCAACTGCGCATCTGTCGCCACTCTTGTGGGCTCCTGGGAGGTGCAGCGGAGGCGGTAGTCACGCGAGACCTCGCGGCTCCCTGGGAGGCTGCCGACTGCGCATCTGTCACAATGTTCGTGGGCTGCTGGGAGGTTCAGCGGAGAGCGTTGTCCTCGCAACGTTTTCTTTTGTGCGGAGCGTTCATGTGAATAAGCGCCTCTCGTGAAGAAGGGGTGGTGTGAGTCTCGGGTAATTTCCCACCCGGACATCTGAGAACAGCAGAGCGGTGCATCCTCACCATCCTCACCCCCTTCGTCGCCCTCGCCGAGTCCATTCTCCCCCTCCCTTCCTACCTCCACCTTCTCATCCTGCTCCTCTTGCCCAGTTGCTCCCTCCTCCTCCTCTGCGAAGCCTCCTCCTCGGGTAGAACTGAGCGGACCAGAGGTGCGCCTTGTCAAGCCAGGCCCAGCCCACGCACAACAGCCAACGAAAATCACCCAACCGACAGGTCAATGGAGGAAGAGGCGAAGGACGAGGAGAGGGAGGGAGGAAGAAAGGAGACGAAGAGGGTGGCAGAGGGGAAAGGATTGGCCCGGCCGATGGGGTGTCCCTGGCGGCAGGCCCTTGGGGAATGTCGCTTTCTCGGCGCCCATCTTGGGGTGCCGGCAATGGTCTTCCGCCAACTTCCGCTGCCCTTCCGCCGGCTTCCACTGGCGGAGGCCGCCTCGCTTTACTTCCGCCGACCTTCCGCCGCCTTCCGCGGCGGAAGAGATGACAACTCCTTTGATCCTCGAAGGCAAGACCCTTTTTGGAACGCCCTGTGTTGCTGCCGAAAGGGCCCCTCCCGAAGCCGAAGCGGTCCTCATCTTAGCCGCCTGGCCGTGGGTTCGTCTCCCCCAGGGACACCCCCTGCCCTTCATTAGAGGAGCAAGGAACTGCGGGCCATACTTCTGTCCATATCCACTGCAGGATGGGGTTTCGGGCTCCCTTCCTCAGAAACCCGAGGCGCACTGGATATGGATAAATGTGTCCCCTAGAGGCTCGATGTTTATCCACATCCAGTGCGCCTCGGCCTTGTGGCGCTCCTTTCTAAGAAAGTCCAAGGCGCACTGGATATGGATATCGATTGTGCCCCGAAAGAACAGTGTGCACATCATTTCCCGGAGGTCTGCGAGGGGGGTCCAGCGCAGATTCAGGAAATCCGCGCGGCTTTTCGAGAGATCGAGTTCGCTATGTGATGACGTTGACGTCGTGCGCACCGCCCAAACGCACAGTACACACATCTTGCAGTGTATCGCTTCCCGAGCGGCATGGCCAGAAAGCGCCCGCCACGTAGCTTATACTAGAAGACTTCTCGGCGAGCGCGTCGCCCCTGGGGGAACGACCCACACACGCAGCCGGACCTGGGACAGAAGAACATCCTTCAAGAACGTGAGACCCTGAACCGGCCAAGCTGAGGACCATTCGAGTGTACCCTCCCCCAGGACGCACAAGACCACCCAACAGACAAGAAGAACATCAGGGTACCCTCCCCTGGCCGACCTCGAGCTTATATCTCGGTCCAACCGCAATCTTAACATGTTGGTGTGACGCCGATTTCAGCTCGTGGCAGCGCAAAGACAAGGCAGAAACGGAGCCGGAGCCAGGAAGGCCCGCCTTCGGGCGCACTAGCATACCGGTGCTGCCGCTGCGGGTCATGATGCTGGTCCTTGCGGGCTCGACTGCAGGGTCGACGGTATAGTAGACCAACTCTTCCTCCTCCTCCTCCTCCACTCCTCCTCCTCCTCCTCCTCCTCCTCCTCCTCTTTTTCCACCTCTTTTCCTTGTATAGAACTCCTCCATGTCGCATCCCGAGGCCGGTCGAAAGGGCGGGCCGGGCGTTTCGCCTGAGACCTCCTCACCACGTACGACCCTAAATATTAAACATTTGCAACAACTTCACAGACGGACGCGGGTGGTTTTCGTAATGTGGCTTCCGCCTTGGCATCGCGCACATTCTTTTTAACAATTTGCAAGATCTTCACATATTTGAAGACGGGTGAATTTCAAAATGTGGTTTTCGCCCATGCGCCGCGCGATTTCGTTTGAATCATTTGCACTAGTTTCACACATTGGGGGCGGGATGTTTAATTGTGGCTCTCGCCAAAAAGCCGCGCACATTCGCACGAACTTCACGGATTGAGGGCGGTTCGTTTTAAAATTGTGGCGGCTCTTGCCTCAGCTCCGCGCACATTCGCTTAAACAACTTGCAAGAGCTTCATGGGTTCCCATGGCCAACGCAACAAAGCATTGTTTGTTGGACGGGTCCAAGACTGTGAGGGCTCAACAGCTACGTTAATTCGCGGTGCTGGAGTCGCAGAAATGGTATTCTGGCGCGATTCCAGATCGCTAAGACGCAACAGTCACGTTGATCCGTGGCATTGGCGCCCCGAGATCGGTGTTTTAGCATGTTTCAGTGTCTTCAAACGGTTGCCTCCCAACGAGGCACTTCCCTCAGTGGAAATGACCCCTGTGTAGGGGCATACAAGGGGGAGCTCGGAGGGAGACTTTATACCAACATCGTTGATGATCTTGGGGTTGCACTGGTCCTCCTCCTCCTCCTAGTCCTCCCCCTCCTCCTCCTCCCCCTCCTCCTCCTCCTCCTCCTCCTCCTCCTCCTCCTCCTCCTCCTCCTCCTCCTCCTCCTCCTCCTCCTCCTCCTCCTCCTCCTCTTCGTACTCCTCCTGCCTAGTCCTCCTCCTCCTACCTAGTCCTCCTCCTCCTACCTGGCCCTCCTCCTCCTACTCCTCTTGTGTAGGGCATCGAGGACGTGGGAAGCGGCCTACGGCGCACCCCTGCGCCGATCCTGGCCGACGGCCCGTGTGGGGTCCTGGATCCGTGGGCGCGCCTTTCCCGGCCAGGGTCGGCCTGGCCTGGCAAAGAACGGCCTGCGGAGTGCACGGGAGCTGCTGCATGGAACGCAGAGAGACACGAAGTACCAATATGGGGACCCGTTCTGAGAGAGAGAGAGAGAGAGAGAGAGAGCGAGAGAGAAAGAGAAAGAGAGAGCACGTTCCCTTTCCTTTTGCAGGGGCTCGCGCGCGCGTGCGCGGCCAGCGCGCCACATAACTCAAAAGCCCTGCACCAGAGCAACCGCGGGGCAAGGGAAGCGAGAGCGAGGCACGGGAGGAGAGGCTGACACAGGCACGACAGCCACACGGCAAAGATCGGGTGCCTCGAGCACGGGACGCCTGCCCCGTGTCCCCCGCGGACAGTCTCGTCACGTCGGGCACGGCCTCCCACGGGCGGAGATCGAACGATGGCGACAGCTCGGCGAGGCCGCGGCCTGCCTGGGCGAGAGGGGCCGAGGCAGCCCAGCTGACCGAAGCAAATCAGAAGAGAGGTTGCTCAAAGCCTGGCGGACGCCAGGATCAGACACAGGAAAAGGATGAGGACGATAAAGATGAGGAGGAGGAGGACGAGGAAGACGAAGACGAAAACGACGACGACAACCACGGCAGCGGCGGCGATGACGCGGGCGATGACGACGGACGTCGTCCAAAGGTCTACGAAGGTCTCCGGGCGGAGGCCCTCAGCGGCCAAGGAGATGCCAAAACATCCACATCCAAGCCCTCGCTTCCCGAACCTGAATCCTCGATCCTCGACTCTCGACGACGAGAACGAAGATGACCAGGACGACGAAGATGCCGACGAAAACGACGGCGTCGGCGTCCGACCGAAGCACGCCACAAAAAATGTATGTTTCTCCGATCGCACTTCAAGACCACATCCCAGAAATTGTCGAAGCAGTGTCGAACGAGTGTCTCCCCGGGCCCGACATGTGAAAACACTCAAGTTTCCGTACTTTCTCGGTGCTCGGAATTCTTTCTGGTGATCAGGGCTGGAATAGGTTGGAACGTCATGACCCAAAACCGGTCCACCCACCCCTGCGGGGGTCCCTCCTGGCCAGTGTTTCGAGCCACGTCCAGCCGTGGCGACGAGGCCATCTTGAAAGACACCGCCCCCGAAGAATCCCAGAAATGACGTCGACTGCGCACCGCCACGAGCCCTCTCCAGGGGCGGGGGGGCGATTGCTTTCATGCCCTTCCAGACAGCCAGCCTCACGCGAAGCTCTCTCCAAACACGTTCCGAGCCTCCCTAGACAGCCAAGCTGACGAGAACGCAGGAAGCCACCACTGGACCGCCACCGCAGATGGCAAGCAAGGCAGAGGGGCGCGGCTGAGGACGATGAAGCGGGACTGGCGCAGACGGGGGGGGGCGCTGGCCTGGACCTGGCGAAACTCAGCCGATGCATGGGCGATGGGCCTCCGAGAAGGCGAGTCCAAACGTTCCTGCTCGGGTCGGGGTGGGTCTGGCATCGGCCCGTGGCCCAGCTGCTCGCTTCCCTCCTGGATTCCATACGTTTTTTGTTTGTTTTGTCATACGTTTTCTAGGTCTCGTAATGCCGCCTTCCTGACGTCCACATTCCAGGGTTCAATGTTTGAAGCGTTGGTCGGATCAAAAACGAAATGCGCAAAACGATGGAACAAAAACACCGGGGTTTTTTACACACAAACTCATTGAGCAGGGACCGACCGTCCGGGCATTTTAGACCATCACGACATGCTCTCAGAACACAGGAATATTCCAAAAACAAGAAACGATGCTCGTAGAACAGCAAGCCGACGTGTTCAAACAAAGCATAACAATACTTTCTCCGACAGACATGTCCTAAACACATCCCGTGCAAACCACAAAGGGTTATTGCAACATTCGGCGGCGAACGGAGACGGCCCTCTCAGAAGGCGGCGGGGCCTCTCAGAAGCCCTCGCGCCTTCTGACAAGCTGTTCGTGCCTTCGGGGAAGGCTTAAAGAAAACTTCTCCGAGGGCAGGGGGACGGTGCCCGGACAAAAAGTGTCCACACCCAGGGCGGCAAGACACTGCGACGTGATAACAACCGCAACAGCATGATGCACTTGCCTCGCACCCCCCCCCAAAAATCCAAAGTTGAAGTGTCCACATGTTGTCCCTGGCGCGCGGCCTGCCGCCTAACCCCGCCAACTTTGAGTTGGGGGAAAAGGGGGTATACATATTCGTTCGACGTGATTTGACGACGAGTTGTCTTGGCGCGACAAGTGTGGACACTTTTTGTCCGCCCACCGGAGGGACTCTCGAGCCTTCGAAGAAGGCCTCGTCCTTTTCCTTTCCCCTCCGGTGGCGCCACCGACTATAAACAAGCCAAGAAGCCTCGCCACTGATTGAGCAGGGGCCGACCATGCCTACCACGCAATTTCCTTAAAGCTCCAAAGATGTTCTAATAGCAAGAGCAGGGTTCTTAGAACATGGAAGCCCGATGTGTTGAAGCAAGACAGTCTCAGCCAGAAATGCTCGAAGCACACTTCGTGCAGACCACGTGAACGGTTCTTGGAACATCCTTTGGTGGGCCCATCGGCGAGCCAAGACGCTTCGCCACTGCTTGCTATAGGCAAGCTGGGAAGCCCCGCCGCTGCTTGATGTTTTCGCTGGGCCATGCTCACGGTAATGCTTCAAAACTGCATTGACAACTCTTGGTGATGCTTCAGAATTGCATTGAAATCCAATCTGCCAGAAGGATTCGCGGCAACATTAGGCTCGCACCCATCGACCTCGTCCTGTGTGCTCCGCTTTTCCTTAGGCCAGCGATGCAAGCCGTGCCAAGGCTCTGATGTGTGCTGCGGAGCCCTGGCCAACCGCGCCTCCGAGAGACGGCGGTGGCGACCGGCGGCGGCGGCGGCGGGGCGCTGCCCGCACGGCGCCGACCGTCCTCGGCATGCCGCGCCGCGGGGTGTGCGCCGGGCGCGCCAGGCGCGCGCGCCTCGGGCAGTGGAGGGCGGGGGCGCTGCCACTGGAAAGCCTTGTGCTTGTGATATCAAAATAGCAAGAATAGTCAACTGTAGACATAAGCGATCTATCTATCGGAGGTGAGGGGGTGAGATCGAAGTGGAACGGAGAGCCCCCCTACCGAGAAATCGGTTTCGGTTTCGTGTTCGTGCGTGCCGTGCGTGCGGGCGAGGCGAAGCTGCGTGGGCGGGCGAGAAGGAAGTCTCCTCCGGCTGAAGCGCGGCCGGACCAAATGATTCCTGACCGGGGGCTGGTGGCGCGCGGTGTCCCGCCGGTGTTCTGCCTCCGGCGGAGGCGCGGCCAGACCACATGATTCCTGACCGGGGCCGGTGGCGCGCGGTGTCCCGCTGGTGTCCCGCCTCCGGCTGAGGCGCGGCCGGACTACATGATTTTTGACCGGGGGCCGGTGGCGCGCGGTGTCCCGCTGGTGTCCCGCTGGTGTCCTGTCGGCGTCCCGATGATGATGATGATGATGATGATGATGATGATGATGATGATGATGATGATGATGATGACGATGATGATGATGATGATGATGAAGATGATGATGATGATGATGATGATGATGATGATGATGATGATGATGATGTCGATGATGTTGATGATGATAATGGTGGTGATGGTGGTGATGATGTTGGTGTCCCGATGATGGTGATGATGAGGATGATGGTGATGATGTAGACGGTGTTGATGATGATGATGCTGATGATGGTGATGGTGGTGATGATGATGGCGTCCCGATGATTATGATATTGATGATGATGATGTTGCTGATGATAATGGTGTCCCGATGATGATGATGTTGATGATCCGGATGATGTTGATGACGATGGAATGAAGATGAGATGCTGATGATGGTGTCCCGATGATAACGATGGTGAGGTTGATGATGATGCTGTTGATGATGATGGTGATGATGATGGTGTCCCGATGATGCTAGTGATGTTGATGATGATGACGATGATGGTGTCCCGATGATGATGATGATGTTGATGATAAGGATGACGATGAGGTGATGATTCTATGATGATGCTGATGTTGATGATGATGATGATGATAGTGGTGCCCCGAAGATGATGATGATGATGATGGTGATCATGATGGTGATGATGATGGTGTCCCGATGATGATATTGATGATGTTGGTGATGATGTTGCTGATGATGAAAATGTCCCGATGATGGTGTTGATGTTGTTCATGATGATGATGAGATGATGATGATGATCATGATGATGGTGGTGCTCCGATGATGATGATGACGATGGTGTCCCGATGATGACAGTGTTGATGATGATGGTGACGATGAGGGTGTCGCGATGATGATGATGGTGATGGTGATGATGATGTTGATGATGATAGTGATGAGGTGATGATGATGGTGTCCCGATGATGACGATGATGATGGTGACGACGTTGATGACGATGATACTGATGATGATGATGATGATGATGATGATGATGATGATGATGACGTCGATTGTGAGATCGATTGTGATATCGATAGTGAGACCGATAGTGAGACCGAATGTGAAATCGATTGTGAGATCGATAGTGACATCGATAGTCAGATCGATTGTGAATTCGATAGTCAGATCGATTGTGAGATCGATCGAACGAAATATATTGAGTGAGATCGATTGTGACATCGATCGAGAAAGATCGATCGAGCGAGACCAATAGTGAGATCGATAGTAAGATCGATAGTGAGACCGATCGAGTGAGACCTTGGTTCCTCCCCCCCCGAACCTCCTTATCACCCGAAGGGTGGTCGTATAGGTACATATATAGCTTGATACATATATATAATTATATGTATAGGCATACATGTATACATACATACAGACATACATCCAGACAGACAGACATACATACACCCATATATGCATTCATACGTGCATGCATATATGTACATACAAGCATGCATGCATGCATGCAAACATACATGTGTGTGTGTTCCCGGAAAGCTCCCTGAGAGCTGAGAGGGCTTCATATTGGAAGCTGGCACCGCAGGGTAGCCCCGGAGCTCGTTCTCGCGCTTCGGCAGAGCACCTCTCAGAAGCCTGTGTGAGCTTCTGATGTGTTTCGGAACACTGCTTCTCACTGTTTCACAATACGTGTGCCGTCAAGCTTCCCAGAAGCTCCTTTCCAGAGCTTCCCGAGCTCCGAGCTCCTTCGAAGGAGCTTCCAAACACTTCTGCCGCCTCGCTTTCCCGGATTTGGGCTCCACAAGTGTGCTGTACATCTCCCTATGTATAGGTACGTGTATATGTATGTTTGTGTGTCTGTATGTATGTATGTGTGCATGTAGGCACAAGTGTATATGCACACATATCTACATACATATACATTGGTCGCGATAGCGGCCGTTACCGTCCCCGAGCGCCCCAAACCCTCCCACCCAGGCAACGTCACGACTCGTGCTAACCTCCGACTCGACTTCGGTTACCCCCGGGCACTCCCAGACGGCGTCGGCGCAACGCGTGACGTTACCGCCGCCCCGCTCGTTATCGCCAGGGGCAAAACAACTCGCCTGATGCCCTCTGCAAGGGAGAGGGGGCAAGGGAAACAGGGTGGGGTACAACGTGAAGGGGGGGACCAGCTCACGGGGGCAGCATCGACCTGGAACCGGAGATGCACTGCCGTTGGAGGAAGGGCGATAGGTTCTCGATAGCTGGGACCGACTAGACAATGAAGCTGGCGAGAACGCAGAAGCCGCCACTGGAGCGCCACCGCAAATCGCAGGCATGGCAGAGGGGCGAGGAGGACGACGAGGAGGACGAGAAAGGGGGACTAGCCCAGGGGGTGGAACACTGACCTGGGCTCGGCGCAATGTAAATATCCAAGAGATCGGCGATGGGCCCCCGTCAGCGAATCCGCGCGATCCTGGGCGGGGTGGGCTATCAGGCCCCCGTCGGCGATCAATCAGCGATTGGGGGTCGATGCGTCCCCGCCTGAACCTATTCCCCGCTAGCGTCGCCCCTGACAAGGGCGGGGCTGGAGGGAGGGGGAAACAATCGAGGGCTGAGGCTCGAGGACCGAGAAGGTTCGAAATCCGAGGATCGAAATGGGGGGGAAGGAGGAGCAATCGAGGACCTGGGCTCGAGAATCGAGGCTCGAGAATCGAAGGGGGGAGAGGGAGGGAGCGCGCTGCCCTCGGATCTGGGGATCCGGCCCTGAACAGGGCGGCGCGGCGGGGCCTCGGCCCTCATATCAAATAGTGGTTGCCATTGTCCTCAGTCTCTCGCCATCGATTGCGCTGTCCTCCGTGACGTCGCCGGTGATGCGGTTCAGAAGGTGCCCGCTGCAGAACCCACTTTGCCCACGAGTGTTCCGAGCCCTGCAAACGATACCGACACCTGCGAGCCGAAGATCTGCGTGCATAAATCCAATCGGGAACATGAAGGCGTTACAAGATGAAGACGTTGCAAGCCCTGCTCTGCGTTGGGGGTCGCCCGCCTCGGCCAATCGATCCGAGGCCCCAAGCCAGCTTGAGTACTGCAGCTGCTTTGACTGCCGGGAAGACTGCTGGCTGCGGCGGTCTCGCTGGATGAGCCCTGTTTTGGTAGTCCCCAAACGTGGTGGTGACAACACCCGTCGGTGAGTCTCGGGCAATTCGGTGTCACCACCCAGTTTGGAGACTCGTGTGGTTTTTCTCGGATGTCCCGAACGCTGGTGGCACCAGGGAACAAAAAAGAACCGGCGGGGACCCCGCGTTCCAAAATCCGGCGGTGATTTTTTGGGGGTTCCAGGTCACCACCAGATATCTCACCACCGGTTTGGGGGTTCCCAGCTGTTTCTCGTCTGCCTTCAGCCTCCTCCAGGGCGTGCGGGCGCTCATTCGGAGCATCCGTCGTTGGGTTCGCCGCGCCTTGTCCGCCAGAGGCTTGGTCAAAACCCATGCTTCACCGCCGTACAACATGGTCGGAGATACGGTGCTTTAGGCGACAACTTGTGGAGGACTGATTATTTGTCAGCTGGCCCAATGAATACCAAACTTCTTCCGCGCCGTTGAAATTCTGTGGTCGATCTCCGTCTCGTGCGTGTTTCTGAACGACATCTGTCGTCCCCCAGATGTTTCCACGTACCCGAAAATGGAATGATCTCAATGCTCATCTCCTCGAGCTTCGCTGCGGGCTGCCTGGGGTCGCCCCGTGCACATCGTAGCGTTGCTCAAAATATTCGTCTTGTCTGGGGAACCTTCCAAACCTCTTTCTCGAACTGCGTCGCGAATGTCTTGGATCATGTTCCGGACATGGTGTAAGGATGTGCCAGTCAACAAGACATCATCGGCGAATCGTAAACTTGTGATCCAACGATCCTGTACAATATTGAGCCCCCAATCCCTTGCGTTCCCATTCAGCTTTAACGACGCGCATGGCATCCCTCAAGAGAGCGTTTAACAGCAGCGAGCTGAGAGGGTAGCCTTGCTTAGTGCCACGATGAATCGGGAACTGCTTGCTCATTCTGTCGGTGCGCACTCCTGCAAACTGTCCAGCATGCAAGGTTTTCGAGACGCGCGTACACCTGTCTGACACATCTTGTCGTTGCAATGATGACCATGCGCTGTCCTGCTCGATGGCGTCGAAGGCCTTGCAGAAATCTGAAGCGGCTACCCATAGTGGCAGTTGGAGTTCATACGACTTCTCCTGCAACATCATCATTGCAAGAGATCCCAAGATCGAATCGATAAGTCGGGTCGGCGATCGACATGCACCAGATCGGCGGAAATCGTCAGCGGAGTCGGGAAAATCGAATCGGCGGAAATCGGCAGGCTAGTAGGCCACCATTGAGAAATCTGAACCCAGATCGGAATTCCGAAGTCGGATCGAATCAGAATCGGGAGAGCCATCGAAATCGAATCGAACCGGATCGGAGGCATCGAAACGAGCCCTGTCACTGCGGACAGACGGTGCGCCGCGCTGGATGAGGAG